GTTATGTTTAACTGTATTTATTTTCTGTGTGATAAAATAAGATCTGTTTTCTAAAGTGCTATGTTCTGTACAATGAATGACTGTCTAATTTCTGATATGTATTCGTGATATCCTTAGCATCATGTGATATCTGTTGGCTGTTACCTGGTATCGGAGGTTCCTTTATGGAACTTAATCTGTCTGCATTCTGCTACCCGTACCGGAGGCTCCGTCATGGGAGCTCAGTGTATTTATTCTATGTTACCCGGATCCGGAGGTTCCTTTATGGAACTGGTTATTCATAACCCTCACGTGTCTGTATCTGTTCTACATTTGCTCTGTTAATGCTAATGGATGTATCACGTATACTTAAGCATACCTCATGATTTTTGTATATGATCTGGACAAATTATGAATTTAATATGAAACTGAATATTGATTTCTGAATCTGTACAGACTCATTCATTGAAACCCCTTTATTCTGTTATTGTTCACTGAGCTTTCGCTCACAGTTTATATTATGTATGTAGGTGAGCCGGCGCGTGATCAAGGCCAGAGTTGACGACCTTCTTTTCTGTTTTTGTCAACCAACCGTTGTGTCTCCCGAGGAGGTTCCGTTCGAAGCCTAGTTACATGGCTGTTTTTGTACTAATGCTAGTCTTTGTCGGTTTTGTAAGTCAGGTCCTGGGAATTACACTTTTGTAAATGAGTTGTAAATATGGTATCCTTGACCGACACGCTTAAGCATATATATAAGTTTTGAAATCTTATGTCCCATGTGTTGTTATCACAGCTCATTGGACCTTGTCTATTCTGTATAATTGCTTCTGTAGTCCCTTATTATATGCTTATCTATTCAGAGGCCTTTGGTAATCCACGAATTACTGGCCAGTTATGATGCTAAACCTACATGGGCGGGTTTGGGTCGTGACAGCTGTTTCAAGCTTCTGTCCCTACTTGTAGTAGAGGAGCCTCATCCATCTTGGGCAATGTCTGTCCAACCCCAACAAGTTGTTCTTCTCCCAATTGGTATAACAGTATGCATGACCCGTTCTAAACTGAGGGCTGCCCAGGAGGCAATGGCATCAGTTGCTGAGGCACATGCCTCATCAAGTAGGAAGAGACTCCGAAAGGTACCCGTACTTAGAAAATAATTTGCATTACTTCCTTGGACTTTTTACATTTATTTTAGTAATCACACGATCTTTTTCCTTTTCATCACATGATCTTTTTCCTTTTCAGGGCCCATCGGCCATAGAACCCTCAGGCCCCGAAGGTTCTTTTATTGTCATTGGGATTTCTTTAGATTCAGACGACGACGACGACGACCTTCCCATTGCTTTAAGGGTCACAAGATTCAGAACCCGCAGAATGGTACTTCCAGGTGTTGAAGAAGAACCAAGTGCTAAGGCCAAACCAACTACTAAGGCTAAGGCAGTTACTGAGGCTGAGCCAGTTGTTGAGGCTGCAAAAAACGAACAAGTCCCCTCTATTGTGGAAGTTGTTGCGAATGGTATAGTTACTGAGGGTGCAGAACCTCCAAACCTTGCTGATTTTGTTCACTCTGGCTGTTCTTCTGTCGGCGAAGATGATTTTGTTCCAGAGACTCCGAGAGAGGATCGTGGTGTAAGAGAGCCATTAGAAGTTATACCACCCCCCTTGGAAGCTGTATTTGGGGGTTCTTCCCAGTCCACTAAGTCTCCACTGGTTCCACAGACCCCACTTCCCAATGTTCAAGTTGCTGAGAGAGGTGCAGATGTAGCGGCTGTTCCTATTGTGGACCCCTCCAAGTTTAGCTCAACTTGCGGTGGTAGCTGTCAATCTGGCCGCTCATGGTACTACTACTGTTACTGATGCTTCTAACCCAGTTGCCTCGGCAACTTCTAAGCAGCTCATTGAACTGTATCCCACTCACTTCCCTGAGGTGCTAGCTAATCTTGGGGGATCACGAGACTTTAATGTGGGCATGGACACCACTGTTGTGCTAGATCTGAATGTCAAGGACTACCCTATGGACGACCTCTTTTCAGAGCACCATGATGGTGCAGGTAGCTTTGGCCTTTCTTGTGAAGTCAGTTCGCCCGATCGCAATCCAGCATCTACCCATTCCAACGTCGCTGGGTAGTTGTCTTCAGGGGAGGTGCGTCGTCCCCAAGCCTTTGGTCACTTTACCAGTCTCCCTCTAGTAATCGAAGCTAGCGGTGGTATGAGAGGGTCCCCTTAATCCTTAAGGAAACTTTTTTTTCCTAAGTTATTGGGTCTCTCTCGAAGCTACTCCTACTCTTGTCCGTATCCAGGCGCTACACCCTGGCACCTTCATTACTTTCAACATTCCGGGCTCAATGGTGCAGACAGCACTATTGGAATCACTTGCCAGCTTCATCCACGACCTTCCTGCAAAGAATATTCTGACGACTCCCAGTAAGTTTGTGAAGAGTGCTGAGGCTAATTTGAGCGGCTTTGAGAGGAATGGTCTGGACCTATCGTGGATGAGGGCTAGGCTTCAGGCAGTCAATGGCTTTCTTGAACATGCAGATAATGTCGCAATGATTGTATCTTTGGAGAAGACTATCAAGAAGTGTGAGGGTGCCTTGAAGCAGCATCGGCAGAACCTGGCTCGATTCAAAGAGAAAACTCTGCACTGGTTGCTCAGCTGCCTAGGGATGTGACCCTAATGGACTTCCTCATGAAAGGTTTGATTTGATTTATTGTGATTCTGTTATGGCTCCTTTTCTTTGTACTTTTGCTACATTTTTTCTTTTATTTTATTTTTTTCCTTCTAGCATTGTAATCACGCTGTGGAAGACTTTGATGTTTATGAGGAACAAAGATACTGAGTAGTCGAATTTTGCTTCACTGTCTTCTTTTCATTGTGCTTACATAGCTTCTAAGGATAAACAATATACTTGCTATGAACAGAATTTCACAATGACTAAGTTTTTATAAGGCTAAAATTTCACTGAGTATGGAAAACTTTCCTCGCACTAAGTGTTTACAAGAGTAATAGGTTCACTAAGTGTATGACGTTTTCTTTACACTTTGCTTTAGAAGTATTAACAAAGAAACTTACAGCTCTTTTTTTTTTTTTGAACAAAAAAAATTAAGGAAAATACTTTTTGACATACTTGGCATTGATAGGGCCAGTTCTGAACCCATCATCTATTCTTGTCAACTTGTAATACCCATTGCTGCTTGCCTCAACTACTTTGTAGGGGCCTTTCCATCTGAGTGAGAACTTGGGGATTGGTTGCCCCCGCATGATTGCATCCACTGTCTTCCATACCAAGTCTCCCTCTTGAATTCCTATGTTGAACAGACTGATTGTAGGTGTGAGCTATGGACTGGTGATACTTTTCCATTGCCCACAAAGCTCGATCCCTTCTTTCTTTGGCTACCTCTATGTCGTTCTTTCTGCTGTCTGGAACTAGGTGTGCTGACATAGCCATTCTTGCTGAGGGTACTGCCAACTCAACTCGTTATATAGTTTCGAACCCGTATACTAGGAAAAATGGGGTTGCCTGAGTTGGCCTCCTCTTTGACGTTCTATACGCCTAGGGTGCTACATGGAGTTGTTCAGGCCATGTGCCCCCTGCTTCATCCATCATTTTACTAACATTCGAATGAGAGTTTTGTTGGTTGGCTCAGCTTGTCCGTTCCCTTGAGGATAGTATGGACTAAACTTATGGTGCTTAATCTGGTAGGCATCCAGCAGTCTTCCTACATGTCAATTTACAAAGGGAGTTCCATTGTCAGAAAACATTACTTTGGTTATGCCAGATTTACAGATTATGTTTTCCTTGATAAAGTTGGCCACTCTTGCCCCATCTTCTTTTCTCATTAGTACAGCCTCTACCCACTTGGTGCTAACTTTCGTCGCTGCGAGTATCTATCTGTGGCCTTTGGATTGCTGCGCTATAGGACCTACCAAGTCAAATGCCCAAGTATGAAATGGGTAAGGAGTCTTGATGTTGGCAGCTCAACCGCTGGTGCATGTATCAAGTTCCCAAACTTTTGGCAAGATTGACATCTTCTTACAAAAGTTTTGGCATTTTCTTCTATTATCGGCCAATAGTAGCTGAGGTGAATGAGATGTCTATATAATCGCTACCCTCCTTGATGCTCTGTCTTGTCGGATTCCCTCAGCACTTCATTTGCCTCGTCCTTTGATAAACACGTCAAAGGTTCCCCTTCAAAGCTTCTGCAGTACAGCTTGTCTTGGTCAAGAAAGAAGCGAAAGGCCTGCCTCTTTAACTCTAATTGCATCAACTTTATTCTTAGACAGTGTGTCATTTCCAAGATAGTACACATACGGCTGCCTCTATTCCTCACTGCTTAAGAAATGGGCTTCTTTCTTTTTACGATGGGACTAACATTTTGCACATTGCCTCTGCAACTCAGTGCTTTCTTTTTCCATCTTTAGCCAGTAATACCCTTGTCTCTATACTTGTCGGTATAGACTGATATCTCCATCTCCACAGGACTTAGCACTACAACAAAAAAGGGCTTTTACAGTGCGCAATGCACATTGTAAAAAACCTTCTACGACGTGCAGCGGCACGTCATATTATGACTAGTCATGAAAAGTCATTTACTTTCAACGACATGCCATAGTACGCCGTTAAAAACTATTTAACAGCAGATCTTGCGCATTGTTTTTACTTTTTTTACGACTACTTTTGCATGCCGTTAATTGGTGGGACAAATAACAACACTGATAACGCGCTGTAAAATATAAAATACAATGACTTGTTCAGTCTGCCGTAGATAAGTAGATTATACCATGACGTTCGTAGAATGCTGTGGAATATGTCATATAATGGCCTAATTTGCTTGTCGTAGAATGTGCATTGTTTTATTTTATTTTTTTTAATTTAGCAGGTTCTATTTTGACCTGTTTTGTACAATCTAACAAACATTACAAGCAAGCTTCACAAAATATCAATCAACCACCAAAATATTATTTCAAGCATAAAAAATATACTATATCCATAAATTATGAATATTCAAAAATTATCAATATATACATTCCAAACATTCAAAAACTAACCTTAATTCAAAACCATCCAAAAAGAATTATCCTTAAATTTTAATTGTCCAAAAAGTTTTAAACTGTCTAAAAACTAGGTCATATATAAGTTTCTAAACAGAAGGTACATTGAATCTGACATGTTTAACCCATACTTTCCAACACCCAGGGCCAAGAAGCTCCATTCTCTGGATTGTCTTGGCTTTAATCACAAACTTTGATTCTTCCACCTAATCACAACACAAAGAAATAAATCAATGACAATAAAATGCCCAAAAACCATTCAGTGAGACATTTTCACAAACACCCACATTGCGTATTTAACAATACAATATCACATACTTGGAAGTCTAAGAGAAGGGACACTTGGGTCTCCTCAACTTTGGCAGCTAAAAAGAGACAAGCAACAGCAACAAGTTGACAATCTACAAGTGAAAATAGACTGCTACATAACCAATGACAATCTGCAATTCTAAGATTAATGCAGTTGAATATGCAAGTGAAGAAATGCGAATGTCATGAATTCTCAACAAACATAAGGCGTCATAGAAAGGATTACGGACAATTGTATAAAAAGGAAATAAAGATTCAAGTAGTAAATCCAACAAAACATGTACTATGAAAAAACTAAAGGTGTCCTCACCACATTAAATTTTGAAAAATAAAAAAAATAAAAAATGAAACATAAAAAATGGAGAACAAAGTTACTTATTTGACCACTCTAATATGGAAATCCAATCATTAGCTAGTGCATGAGGCCCTAATAATTGTGAGATTTCTACACCCTGGTACACAAGTAGGAATAAAATCATAAAATTAAATATAGAGGCATACAAAAAATCTGAAATACGGTCAGCAAGTACATTCTTTAAATATAATAGCAGCTCCACAGTTCCCAGAATGATTTCTAGCTTCAATAGAATGAAATCAATAACAAAAAGGTCTCAATAAAAGTGGAATAAATGTCCAAAGTCTTCCTTCCATCATCATACTATAAATCATGTTTAACTTACAAATTCAATGGAAAAAGTGATGATCATAACTACGCAAATTGAAATTTAATTTAATAATTTAAGAGTGGTATCTAAGGCATACCAATTCAAGCTCATCAGGAGTCCCAAGCCGAGTTTGCTGATTTGCAAGAAGGGGAATTATGTGTTCCCGCTGGTTAGAAACATTGTCTTTTTGCTCAAAACGAAAATTTGAGCTGTGAGATCAATATAATACATACTATATATATACTATCCTTTGAATCACAACCACATATTGAATGGAATAACATCATATATTTCATAAATGCACGTTGAATGCTCAAAAGTATATACAAAGGAATTAATAAAAAAAAAATTAACTGTGATTATATATATTAAAAAAATGAAAAAACTTGAAGCACAAAGTCCCTGAATTCTTTGACCATATTTTGCATCTCTCTAAGCAATTTCTGACTTGAAAAATGAAAACACAAATTAATTCAGATGATGCTTTATCTTTGTTAGCATTTCCCATTCCAGTAGTTTTCCAGTTGGAAAAATACATAATTCTAGCTGCATGGACATGTATAAGTTGATATTATCATTAGACTACTATTAGACAAACAAAACACACAAGTAAGAAATGTACGCAGCTTGTATAGAGATACTAGTGACTGTGAGTTGCATTATTTATTTCCTCTGCCTTTTCAATGTGTATCAGATTTTGTTTGGCTATTCTATGCAAAAAAGATTTCAAGAGAAAGATCTATGGAACTGAAAGTCTAAGAGAATACCAATTAGCAAGATGAAGTACAAAAGAAGCTCATTAAATATAGGGCATACCTTTCTCCATCCAATCATTCAGTCTGCAAGACTTTGCATCCGTTGGTGTTAGCTTTTTTATCTTCATCTTTGTTCATAATTTCATGATTGTTCAATTTATTCACCAATGAGAACTTAAATTTCATAGAAAACTTGAAGTAAATCTGATGCTGACAAGCTCACCTAAGGCAGGAACAGACTTATCATTGAAATATTTCTTAGGAAATAGGCCTCTTATGTAACTAATGTTAAAAATGGCAATGCGCGACAGATTCCCTGTCTGTTTTAGACAAAACCACTACAGAACATGAGATCAACATTGAATAAATTAACATCAATAAAGTTTTTGAACATCCATTTTTGAAACATTAACAAGAATACAGTATAGGTTTTGAACTCCAGGAATACTATAAGCTTCAAGTCCAAATTAACAGTCAACGGTTGTTCATCATAGCCTCTTTCTTCACTAGAAAATCAACATAATCAATAGCGCAACTTCAGTTTATCACTTAATTTTATAGACAATCTCCTTAATCTCCAATAAACAACCAAATCATATTTGCAAGACATTATAATTTCTCTCTAAATGTGGAAAATTAAAGCATTTCATATCCAAACTCTCTGCAATATAGCTAGCATTTGAAATATGGATAAAGTTTTGATTCAATATCGATCACATCAACAACACCATCGCCCCTAGCTACAACACATACCTTGCCTAATCTATCTACCATATCAACTTCAGGAACAACTATTGCATGGACGAATGCAGGATTCAAGCATTGTCCTGCACTACCTCCGCTATCAGCGTCAGGCACACCTGAATGAAAGGAATCAATCTATCTGACCATTAAGACCATATTAATACCCTATTTGTTTCCATAGAAAATAAAACAAACACCAAGCCAAGTCTATCAAAGGTGTTGAATGGGGTGTAATACTTAATCATTAATGAAGTTATACTATTGTGATCTTGAATAATGCATTACACAAAATCCTAGACTGCCATCCACCACCCAAAAAACTAATTGTTGTGTCACTTCATATCCTTTTGATATACTACAAACTTAATTTCTGACTTCAAAGATTTTAGATAACAACTACAAGCCTTCGATAAAAACAATATACTATCTACTAAACTTTCATGACCAATGTATTCTGTTGATCAAGATCCTTTGGATAGAGAAACACAATTTTGTAATATTGACAAGAATTTAAATAGAACAAATTGACATAAAACTGGGCAATGTCTTTCCAAAGCTGGAAGCACAAAAAGATCACATCCATGCTAGCATTTCGAACCTAAATTTTTCTGAAGGCCACTAACTCAGGGGAAGCAAACCTAAATGTAATTAGTTCACACAAAGAATAATAAGGAGCACACGAGGAGAAAAAAATGATTAAGACTTGTACCAAAGTCAACAAGTTTTTGTGGGCGTCGTTTGGAGAAATCCCATATCACAAGCTTTGAATCAAGTCCACCAGCAATGGCTGCAACACAACGCCACACACAAACTGCTAATTAATAAAAATAAATTCACGTGCATATTTTAAGATGTCTGAAACTCATCGCATTTGCAATTATGACATAAACTTAACATGACCCATAAAAACAACGTCATAATGAAAAATTAGCAAAAATTCAAGATTTCAATAGTCTTAACGTATAAGCAAATAAAATCTACACAAAGCAAAACCTTATAGCGGAGGAGTAGCAAGTAAGCAACAACAATAGTATTGTTACAGCAGCAGCAACATGAGACTAGCAGCAGTAGCACTTTGACAACAACTTAAAAGCACAACAGAACAGTGGTTAACTGGAGGTAACAAGAGAAAGATGACAGCATCAACTCAACCAATCAAAATGTCTGGATTTAACCCATCTAGAATAAGCTGGACAACAAGCAAATACAACAGCTATATCTAGCCACCTATGATCTCACTTAAGTCAACAACAGCTCAAAGAAGAAGAAAAGAGCACAACCACTATATCACTAGCAGAGCCTCACTAACAGGGCCTTACTTTCCTCAACAGTCCACCAAATATAGTAGATCATACACCCCTATGAAAAGAAGCATACACACACCACTCTAGCTCAAAGTTATATAACAAAAAAACAAAAAAAAAAAATTATGGCAAATTGCTTCATGTCCGTCAAGAACTCATCAAAACTAAGGCATGGAAAGGATAATAATAAATAATAACAAAAACACAATCTAGCCACTTCCAACACCTAATCTCAAATACAAGCTCTAATGTTATGGAAGTTAAAAATAAAGTTGCTCATTTGGAATTCCTTGATAAGTGGTTTGGTTTTCACCCAAAAAGACTCATAAAATTTTTGTTCCGTAGTGTTCTATTGAATTGATAAGTTTCTTGTTATGCTAGTAATTTTTTTTTATTTCATTTTGATAATTCAGTATCTGGCTCACTAGACCAACTATTTTGGAGACTAATCTTACCATCCACTAATAGGGTCTATCAAAATTAAGGCAAATCTCCATATAAAGTGGCCTCAAGAAATTATTAATAGTACCTATATTGGAGTCCAACCACAAGGGTCTAGATAGAGATCTGAGCCATTCCACCACTTCCCCACAAACCCTTGAATAGCATAATACAAGGCCTTTTACTCCTTTTCCTCCATTGGAGCTATGAGAATGTCTTCTTCTTGGCTATTGCACAAAATATATAGACCGACGACAATGAACACAACGAGCAAGAAAACCCTAATGTGAATTTGAGAATCGAAATTCTTCATTGCCAGTCCCAATCAAATGAAAAGAATGAAGAAAAAAAATATTAAAAGAGAGCAAAATGAACTAAGGGTGGCTTGCTAACAAGTTAAATAATAAGAAGCCAAGAATTTTCCCAAGAAACGAACACCACCTACAAATGAAGAACCGGGTAGTGTTAGAAGCTGTAATTTTCTAGAAAAACCCAAAAAGAAAAGGGATGGAAAAGGTAAAAGCATAATGGATAACCTTTGATTCTATACCTAACAAGGAGGAAAAGCAAGAGTAGCTATGAGAGGGGTGAGAGTGAGAGGAGGGAAAAAGGAAACACACTCATTTTTTTCCCAAAAATCTCTACTCAGCATTATACCACATAAATGCAAGTGGGCTCTTACTTGAAGGGCTTTAACATACAAAAGAATATATGAATGTAAATTCAAGCAGTTGCAATGTTCTAATTTCAAAGATTTTGAAAAAAAATCTAAACAACGATATCATGGAAATACCCACTCACCTCATACTTAATTTTGGGAATGCCAAGGAAAAATTCCCTTTCCCAGACATCACCACATCCTTTGCTAATATTGGTAAAGCAGGTCTGTGGACTCGCCGCAATCTGCATAAAAATGAAGCAACATAAAATGCACATAAGGCAGGAAAATATATACAAAACAAAAAATACCAAAGACATACATATTGAAAATATCTTCAAGAGTTAGCTTATTTACCATTGCAAGGGAGACGTGTAGACAAAGAATACACATTCAAAGATGTACAGTCATTTGACATCTGACATCAATAAATTTCTAAAGCTGTAGAAAGAAAAAAAAAATGAACTACCATGAAGAAATTTTCAACAAGAAAAAAAATACCATGAAGACAACATTGCGTATCTGTGATAAGTGAGAGGCATTAATTGTTCTACAATTTCTCTTGAAGGTAGATTGTTTTTAAATCTCATGCTTCCAGTTGCACAAAGTTTGTAGCCCATTTTGCAACAAATCTGTAGAAGAAGAAGAAGAAGAAAAAAAAAAAAAGAAAGAAAGAAAAGAAGTGAATTTGTTGTTGTTACTGAAAAGAGAAAAGAAGAAGAAGAAGAAAAGATCATACACAAAACAAGCATCCACGGAACAAGTGGTACTAAAAAAGCAACTGGAAAAAAAAAAAGCAACTATAGTAATGGCTGCTGGGTAGGCTTTAAAATGACAAATGCTGACAAAAACGCACCATTAAAAAGAGTGAGCCAGACTCACGTTTGTACAATCTCTCAAAACAATATATTGAATCTAGACTAGAGATAATTGTGAGCTATCTAGAACTTGTCAACTTAGCACTCCCATCTTAGCATCGTTTTCCATAGCAAAAGTGATCAAACTAGAAGGAAAACTTCATTCCATGCAATTAACAAAGAAAATTACCTGAGAAGATATGCACAAGGTTGACCTTAGACCACCAAAACGAGGTTGTCCACCATATTTTCCCAAATGTGTGTCATACCTCATTATCACAGTTTCCACATGCTCCATTCTGATAAGAGAGGAAAAAAAAAACCCAAGGCCTATCATCTATAAGAACTAATAGACCAACAGACACTACTATACTGATACAAAAGTAAATTAATTTCCATTCGCTTGTTTACAAGGGAAAAACATGTACACTTGAGATAACTACCCAATGCCAAAATTAGCAAATAAACATATCTAATCAAGATGCAAAAATGATTAAAATTGATGAAATGGTAACAATGCATTAACCACAGAGAAAATAACAAAAGCCCAAAAATATGGAGAAAATTTGATAAATATTGATCATTGGCAAAAAATGCACAAAAATTATTAACAAAAAAATGGAACAATATACATAATAGAACTACATATATTGTGTTTCTAATAATGTGGATATATTAACATTAACATCAAAGATGTCATTTTTTTTCTTTTCTTTTGGGATAAGTTAAAGATATCTTGTGGATATTTAAACAAAGATCACTGCTTTGCATAATACGAATCAATGTATTCAATCAAACAACCCTCCAGCTGAAAATGCTACCTAGCAGCAGCATAAACTCAAATATAACCTAGCACCAGCATACAACAACTAAGTCCAACCACGAGCTTGAAGCATTACTCCAAGAGACTGAATAATTTCTCCCAAAATTGGCCACTCTTCGGTGTAAAATGTTATCCAACAAAGCATCAATTGATATCTATCATTGATCCACTTAATTGTATGAATTAGTAGGGCCAAGAAAGATGAAAAAAAAATATTGTTCATAATAAGCCATACCCAACCAAGTTCTAATCATCCTTATAAATCTACAACCTACATTATCAATGCTTTCAATTATTACATTGACCTTTGAGACATTTGGCATCCATGTTAACTACCATTCTCTTAATTTTTAGTTTCATTGGAAACTCCCCTGCACCAACATCACTAATAACCTCTTTGTTGTTTTTGCCTAAAATTCTTGCAACAGTTCATTACCAACAACGTTGTGGGATTATTTTCCATGTCTAAAACAGTCGGAGCACCTAACGTTTCATTCCCTTAATGGATTAAATAAATAATAACAGTTTCACCTGCATGCAAACTATTATTATTTATTAAAACTGAATGCATTGTATCTTAGGTTAAAAAATAAACAAATAAAGCAAATGAAATAGTCTAAATTTTCAAAGAAGTTCTGCTTGTACATTGTGAAATTTGATCAAACATGTAGCATACATGAAGAGAAGTTAAAGAAATCTAAGAAAATAAAATCCAAACAAAGAAAGAATAAAGATATACAGAGGGGCAATCAAAAAACAAAGCAATCATAAAAAGGAAATGAAACAAAATATTCAAAACCAAACCAAGAGAGAGAAGATGAAAAGTATATTCATAGCCAAAACCGAATCAATAGGGAGAGATAGCGAAGGGATCAAAAATACCTCGTGATGTTTCTCAATGTCTGTCCCTAATTCTTGAATACTTGAAGCGACGACGACGACACTAACGCTTGCTCGGAGATACAAAGTCGGTGATAGCGTTGAAGGAGGAGAATGGGCGAAGTCGGCAGCGGCGCTGAAGAGGGAGTAGCTAGGGTAGAGAGCGACGAAGGCAGAGAGTGAGTGTGTGTTTCTCAATATTTGTCCCTCTTCCTACTACTACCAATACCATCTTTCTTAAACTTCTTCCTCTTTCCATCCCCGGAATCATCGTAGTCCGACTCTCCCCTCACAAAATCCCCCAATTCTTCCTCATCATCCTTTTCCTCAATTCCAAAATCAGGAGTGCTCTCATCGGCTGTCGTGTTCTTTTTGATGAGTCACTTCCAGGTTTCGACTTCGCAACGGAATCGTTGTAAATTGGGGTCGAAGAGGGGTTTTGAGGGAAATTGAAGGGCCTATCAGAGAGGATAAAGGTGGATGATTTGAAATGGGTTTTGAGAGAAGAGGAGAGAGAGAGAGGAAAGAGGGGGCGATGGGTTTGGAGTTGGAGAAAGAGAGAGATAGCCTTTTTTCTTTCTCTTTAAATGGAAATTTTCTCTAGGATGATTAAGGCTAACATGGATGAGGTGAACAATTGAGAGGGAGGGACAGATTGGAGATGGATGAGGTGAAGTGAAGTAATCAAAGGAAGGGACGGTGATTAGGGCTCGAAAGGATGAGGTGAAGTGAAGTAGATCAACACTGGGATGATTGAAGAGGGAGGGACATATCGGAGATGAGCAGGGTGAGGATGTAGATCGGTAATAGAGGAGCATCGGCGGTGAGAGTTTTATCTTATCAGTTGCTTTCATTAATGCTGGGGCTGAAGATGTATATGTTCTTTTTCTAATATATATATTTTGGTGAATTAACGCCACAAAATTTTATTTTGGCGCTTTTTTTTTTCTAACATACAATTCACGACATGCATTGTGCGTCGTAAAAAGGCAATATTTTTAACGGCAGACGATGTGTACGTCATAAAAAGTGTAATACTTTTAATGGCGGGTATTGTGTGTGTTGTAAAAAGTACAATACTTTTCACGACTGGTGTATGTGTCTCGTGTATAGTTGATGTATTAACGATATGCCACAGGCATGCCATAGAAAGTTTTATTATTTATGACAAACATTATAAGTCGTAAAAAAATCATCGTTACTACCATTCACGGCCTATGCAATAGACATGCTGTGGTTGGAAAAGTATTTACGACGTGTAAAAAAAGCAAGTCGTAAAAGTGAGAAACTACGGCGTGTATTTATTGTATGTCGTTGATGTGGTACCGTAAAAAATCAATTTTGTTGTAGTGTAGCATGGATCTGCTTAAGTCTATAAGTTACTTCTTGTCTGCCAACGCACCTTGCCAGCAGGTTGTTAGGACCGCAAAAATACAACTCTCCATTGAGGAACAGAAATGATGTAAGTTCTGCTGGTCTGATTGTTCCTTGGCCTATTTTCAATTGCTAGACTATATCTGCTTTCCACCCCTCAGCATCTTGCTCTATATGTTCTTCGGCTAACACTGCTGGTGTTAAACTTTTCTCGATGATGATGGCTATACTATCATCTGGTATATCCACCTTTGCCCCCAGTGTAGCCAAGGCATCAGGGAAACGACTGTGTTTTCAAGGGATATGCTGGATTTGGACATCATCAAACTGAGTAAGCAACCTTTGAACTACGGTGCGATATGGGGCCAATAGAGGCTCCTTCAAGGCGAAATCACCCATTGTTTACTTGACAACTAGCTTGGAGTCACCCCAAATTTTTTACTTGCGAAGGCCCTTCCTTTGGGCAACAATTAGACCCAGTATCAACGCCTCACATTCAGCCTTGTTGTTTGAACATTCGAAGTCAAGCTTATATGATAGATGAAACTTTTCTCCTTCTTAACTAGTTAGTGTTATGCCAGCTCCACCGTTCCCAGCTCTGAAAGCTTCATCAAATTTTAAGTCCTAATGAGTCTCAACTACAGCTACTGAGACATGGACCTCACCTGGTAGAGGTATCTCTACAAGTTCATGTTCTCCAGATAGGAATTGGGCCAGTAAGTCTGCAAGTGCTTAGCTCTTAATAGCCTTGGGAGTAACACAAGTGATGTCATATTCTGCTCAGCAAGTAGCGAACTGGATCACTCTGGGTCACAACCTGGGTCAGGTGTGCCAAAAAATAGTGGCGCAAATTCTGCGTTATGAAGATTAAGGCTAAACAATGCCTCTCAATTGGAGTGTATCGCGACTCGGCACCATTGACTTTGCGACATATGTAATAGAATGGTTTCTCAATGCCATCTATGTCTTGGACAAGTAGAGCTCCAATAGACCGAGGTGTAGAGGTCAGATACAATAGCAGAAACTTTTCGGGTTGTGGGGTAATCATTGTAAGTGGAGAGGAAAGTGCTCTTTTCACCATATCAAATGTCTGTTGGTGTTCTTCTAACCATTCAAACTTGTGATTCCCTTTCAGCAGTGTCCCAAAGGAAAAGGTTATTTCAGCAAGGGTTGGAATAAACCTCCTGAGGTATGACACTTTGCCTAGGAATTTCTTCAAGGCCTTTTGAGAGTGTGGTGATGGCATCTCCATGATTGACTTGATCTTATCTCCATAATGACACTTTGCCTAGGAATTTCCCAGCGGTAACTCTGCAGGCACACTTGAGAGGGTTCATCTTTAGACAGAATTTGCGGCAACGCTGAAAAACTTTTTCCAAGTCGCAAAGGTATTAGTTTGCCTTAGTAGACTTGACCACCAGATCGTCTATATATACTTCCACTTTATGATGCAACATGTCATGGAACACTGCAGTCATAGCCCGTTGGTAGGTTACCCCGCATTTTTCAAACCGAAGGGCATCACTATATAGAAGAAAAAAAATTCCAAGGGCGTTCTGAAAGCTGTCTTTTCTGTATCTTCTAGTGCCATTTTGATCTGGTTATAACCACTGAACTCGTCTATGAAGAAGAACATCTGATGGCCTATAGTAGAATCGACAAGTGTGTCAACATGGGGCAATGAAAACTTATCTTTTGGGCAGCCCTTATTCAGCTTGCGAAAGTCTACGCAAACTCTGATCTGGCTGTTCTTCTTCTTCACAGGCACAATATTTGCTAGCCAAGTTGGGTACTGTATAGGCTCGCTAAACTTGGCCCTCTGTAACTTTTCTACCTCCGCTTTAATCTTTGCTTCAAGATCAGGGTGATACTTTCAAGCATGCTGCTTGATTGGCTTAGAGTTGGAAAAAATGTCCAGATGATGAGTAACAAGGGATGGGTCAAGACCAGGTATCTCGCCATATGTCCAAGCAAAGATGTCACTATACCGTTTCAGTAGTGTTATCAATTCTGCCTTAGCTACTGAAGCCATTGTATCGCTGATAAACATGGGTTTGCTTTGCCCTGGTAAGTTGCTGAGGTTGACCTCAGCAAGTACCTCCTATTGCTGTTTGGGTCTATCTTGCATGCATTCAGGGGCAGGCTCAAACGTCTCCATCAACCCTTCTTGGCACTCATCACCATCAGATTTATTTATCTCGGGGCCATTCTCCCAAGGTATGAAGTCTGGCCCCCAAGACCATCATAGGTAGTAAACTGTCTTGACGCCCTCGCGCACCTTAATAATCTTGGACGGAGGAGTTGTGGACTTGCTGCTCCTCTTCTGCCCACTACTTTCTAGAACAGCCTCTGCATCCCGAATGTCTTCCCACTTTTGTAATTTTACCCCTGCAACTTTACCAGTCCTTGGAGTTTCATCTGTTTACAACTTAGTAAAGAAAACTGTATTCGAATAGTGTGTCTCCCCCACTCCGAAAGGCTTATCAGACGTATTTATGGTTACTGTGTGCTTTCCCAACTTTGCCTTCATGCATTAGTGACAACTTGACGAGATAGCCCCATATCGGTGTATCCAAGCTCTGCCAAGTATCCTATGGTAATTTATGTCCGCTTCAATCACATGGAACTTAGTTGCGGAACGGATCTCACGAATCTCACTGACTGCTAAGTCCACGACAACATGGCCCTTAGTAACTTTTTTCTCACCATCAAAAACCATCATGGTGATGGGCTGGCGAACCATTCTAGACTCTAGGATACCAGCCTTTGTAAACGTGTCAATAGTAATGATGTTTATAAATGCCCCACTATCAAAGAAAGCACGCTTGAACTCTACGTCATTGATGTAAGCTGTGACAAAAAGAGGACGGTTATGAGGAAATGAGTATGCTATGTCTACTTCTGAAAACGTAATGGCCCCATAATCTTCTTGGATACGCCGAGGCACATACTCCTTAACCTCAACAACTTCAACATGGTGCACTTCGAAAATGTTAATGAGGGCCTTTGTTACCTCCAACCTGGCAGCTTGGCTCAGCACCAGCTAGTCAAAGAAGGTGTGAAACTTAACAGAGTTTTGCAAGGCCTGAGCATGAGTATCCTCTGTGAATTTTGCCTCTGTAGGTACTGTCTCAAGGAGTTGGCCGTTAGCGATTTCTTCTAACTCATCATAGTAGGACACCATGTGCACTTGATCGCACTGGCCCGAGGTATCCAATCATATATACATTCTTCCCATTCTCTTTGTGGTTAGGATAAGGGTCCTCCCTTACATCACGATTACCGGCATCTTTGAACTTCAGCTCATTTGTGTCAACTTTCTTCTTGAAGATACTTTTCAAAGTCCAATAGTCCCTAGTATGGTGTTTAGTAGTTCTATGATAGATACAATAATCTAGGCTTTCTTTGTCCTTCTTGGTTGGAAGGAAATCAACCGGAGGCAAAGTAAGTTCACCATCGGTTACCCATTCTTTAACCAATGCCTTAACATTCTTAAGGTTGCAAGGATATGGATTTTCGTCCTCATAACTCTTCATCTTCCGAGAGGATGACGCCTCCCCTTGCGAGCGACTCCCTCCTGCAAAGGTTACCGCAGCAACTCTGCTATTGCAGGAGTAGCGGTGACTGTTATGAGATCTATATAGAGGGCCAGTGGTACTGAGGTTTCTAGCTGCCTTAACCAAGGCTGAAAAGGTAAGCAGATTATGATTCACCAAGAAAATTTTGTAGTCGCATATGGCACTCTCTACACATATGCTGACTACATGGGCCTCATCCACTGGTTCATGACAGTCAATAGCCTCATCTTGGAATCGCTTAACACAGTCCAGTATATCTTCGCCTTCTTTTTGGATATCTCGCCCAAGTGTGAGGGTTATAACTTTCTCTTGGACTTGGAAAAACTTCGTATGGAACTTGTTCACCATCTCCTCCAAACTCTTGCTCGAGTTGGGAGCCAAGTTCACATACCAGCTATAAGCCTTTTTAGTAAGTGATTTGGAGAACTCCCGAAGGCGCATAGAGTGGTCACTGCCATGGACACCAAGAGTTTCAATGAACCTCACCACGTGTTCTCTGATATTGCCATGTTTCCCATCAAACTTAATAAACTTGGGCACTGTATACCCAGTTGGGTATGGCATGGTCAATGTCTCCTGAAAGTATGGGGGTTTCACATCTGGGTCTAGGAGAGATGGTTGTTGCTTCTTGCTACGCTCTTGCTCGAGCATAGCTTGTACATCAGCTAGAGTAACGAAGTGAATGGGTTGGAATGGACCAGTCTGCTATTGGGTAGCTGAACCAGTGGCCATACCGTTTGCCTAAGGTATCACCAAAGACACCTGGATTAGAGCCTGAACCTTAGGGAACAGGTTAGGTACTGGGTTTAGGACTGCTACAAGCGGAGGTGCTTGTGTTGGGGCTAGTCTGGATGTCATGGCCATAATAACCTCGGTGAAAGTTTGCAAAGCTGCTAGGATCTCCCTCTA